ATGAACACATCCCTTTGTTGTAACCCCACCAGCACATAGAAGAACTAAAATTTTCTTTGAATTGAAGAATAAACATGAGATTTTCAGTTAAGGTGTTTATTATGCATTAATATTAAAGTTAAGTTTTGAAATTTGTTCCCAAAAAAAAGACACCACCTCCCTGGCTTCTCTCTGACCTACTTAAGCTTAACATATATGAAACTAGGTCCGCCTCTATACCATCTATCTGTCATTTGCTAGAGGAAATTGCTTAAGCAAGCTTCACATATAAAGTCACAAAGAGTCAACCTATGTAATTTGCACAATTAAGAGAAATAAGAGAGGAGAGCTCTCACTTATTAAATTTTTAAAAACCATCCTTGATGTTAATCTCAGACTTTTGCCTAATCATTACTTTCAACTTCAGTGCCTTTCCCTTATTCAATTTGTCAACTCATCTTCTTTCATTTCTTTATTTCAGGAGCTCTTAAAGTCCCACCTTTCCCATGAAACCTCCCTACATGAAATCACACCTAGCACTGAGTTTTCTATATGCTAGATGTTATTCTAAATCCTTTGCAAAGTGTTAATTCATAATCCTATGTGATCCTTATGAGCAAAGTGTTACTACCGCTATTTTAGAAATGAAGAGCTGAAGTATATAGATTTTATAAAGGTGCAAATTACAAAACTTTGGAATTTGAAGCCAGAAAATAGAGCTCAAGAGCCCATGTTCTTTACTATTTTGCAACACTGCTCCTCAGTAAAAGGACATTTACGAATTTTCTCTTCCCAACACTATTTTAACAGCCTCTCCATCCCTTACCGTCATAAAACACTGGCTATTCAGACATCTCTATATATTTAAGGTTCTTCTTTACTCATTTATTCAATTGTTTATATGTCTGAAATGTTTAACAGAAATCAGTACTATCCTGGATTGCAAACTTTCAAAAGGCTATGACTCATATTATTTAGTAAAACTATACCGTTAATAATTTTTATAATACTAGCTTGAAAAATTTTTACTAATACCTAAGGAAATTAAGTGATGTGACTATATATAAAATAATAACAAAGAGGAGCTAAGGTAACAGATGAATACTAGAATAGCAGGAAGTTACATAATGAAGATAGGCGTATTCAGAGTATAAATATGGACCCAATGAAAAAAGCTCCCATGTCATCACTCATATAAACTTTTACTTCTCTTGCTCATCATATATATCCTGTTTCAGGCAAGACTATACATAAACCTTACAAGTAACAAACATCTACCTTATTTTTATTTATTTTTTTTTTCCCTCTTTAATTCCTGCCCCCCTCACCTATGGATGTTGCTGTTTCCCCTTAAGAACTGGATCTCTGAAGGCGGGGCATCCCCTCTCACACGTGGGTGTGCACCCGGGGCTTGGCGAACCTGGGGTACGGTCTGTGGCTCTAGCTGGGGCGCGAACCCAGGATCTTCTGCGTGCAAAGCAGACGTGCTAACCACTATACTATGGAGCCACCCCATCTATCTTATTTTCAAAAAGTTATTTGGCAGTGACTTCACAAGCTCCAAAATTATCATATTTTTAAAAATTAAGTTTCAATTTTTAGAAATAGGGACTTTAACCTACCTGGAACTTCTGTCCTCACAAGAATATGCACACAATTCAATACGTTCAATTTTCTCTGGAACTGAAGAACTCATGATTATTGGCACTGAAACAAAACGTTGATAGTGTTCCAACATTCTTGTTATTTTTTCTTTGCTTACCCCATGAATATTACGCCTAAAAATTCCAGGAAAGAAAGGGATAGAAGGAATATCGGTAATTAAGTTTTAAAAAATTATGACGTATGATGTCAAAAAAAAAGACATATTCCTAACAAAAATATCAAAGTTGGCTTATTATAATAACAATATATACTATTTGAATCTAATTTTTACTTTATTTAGGATGTCTTAAATTATCATTTTCTTAATCATTCCATATAATCTTTTCCAAGCATCCTTTAATAACTTGGAAAAAAAAGAGCAGATCCTAAAAATTTTAAAGGAAGTTATTCTCAAGTTGTGCAAAAAAAATCTCAAAAGACTGACCATTGTTAAAGAAACACAATACAGTGCACATAGAATTAAAAAAAAAAAAAAAAAAAGAACATGACCATCATTTCAAGGCTTTAAATAGTTATTAAATAATGAGTTAAAAATTCTACTGGAAAGCTTTCACCTATCCCAGTATGGCAGACTAGATATCCCAAAGGGCCCTCCTGTCACAAGAAAACTGAATCCTAAGTGAATTAAAGCAAACATACATTTTAAGTTCAAGCAAAGAAAAAAAACTACTACTTTAAGTCTCTGGATACCCAAATATGAAGATTGTTATATTTGTGTTTTCACTCATGATAGCTTATTTCTGTGTGTTTTTATTCATGAGCTTACATTTAGTGGAATCTAATATGAGACTCTTTAGCCCTTAAACTGGGGGTGCTTTCATTCATACAGTATCTGGATTTGCATCTTCCAGGAGGCCAATTGGTCCCTCAATGGTCCTGTCTTAATGAAAACATATCAGCTGCAATTCTTCTATCTTGGGTTGGACCAAGGCTTAGTGTCTGGATCTCAGGGCTAGTATTAGTATTTGCCACCTGGGCAAATCTGGCTTTCATATTTACCTACCTCGATCTTGTCTGGTTTCAGATCACAGAGAAGCAAAGACATAGAAAATATGAAAGAGAGGTTAAGAGAAACAGACATAGAGGACAGAGCAAAAAGGTCTAGTATATGTCTAATCCAAATTCCGGAAAGAGAAAACAGAGTACATGGGGTAGAAGCAATTTAAAGAAAAATAGTTGAGAATTTTCCAGAACTGATGAAAGAAATCACCCCCAATCTCAGAAGCCCAACAAATCCCAAACAAGATAAACAAGAAATCCACAACTAGAAACATAGTACTGAGATTGCCATTCACCAAAGATAAAGAGATGATGATAAAAGCAAACAGAAATTTTTTTAAAACAACTAGTTGATTATGATGAAATCAACTATTAGAATTATAGTTCACTTAAAAACAATAACAGAAGTCAGACAAGAATAATGGAAACTGTCAATCTAAAAAATACAGACCCAGCAAAAGTATCTTAAAAGAATGAGGGAAGTAAAAGGATTTTCCATTAAAAAAAAAAAAAAGTTTGACATGAAGCAGGCCTACACTGTAAAAAAAATCCTAAAAGGTGAATGTCAGACAGAAGGAAATTCAGAGATGAAAAGTCTATGATTAAAAAAAAATTAAGCATAAAGCAATAACTACATGAGTGAAAACAAACACTATCTGTACATTCTGGACAATCATAGCATGTTAGTTAGAAGGGAGGTAAGTGTCAGAGTTAAAATGTTTAAAAGTCCTTTTATTTGTGAGAAGGAAGGTTAAGAAAATGGATTGAATTTAAAGTTTGCATGATAATATTTTTAATGTAACAGCTAAATGAATAAAAAGTGTCTATAATTTCCAAATTAGCACAGAAGGAAAAATAAATAAGAAAAACTGTATTCAGTAAAAAAAAAAAAAAAATCCAAAATAAGGCATGATAGGAGAAAAAATTCAATTATTTTCTGGGACAGGGGTAAAAACTACAGAAAAGGTAATATAAATAGAAAGCACACAGAATTGGACAGTAAGAAACAAGACCAATTATATGAATAATCATATGAATTATATGAATTGTTAAGAACTAAGCTTATCAGTTAAAAGCCAAAGATAAACAGAGTGGATTTTTTAAAACCCAATCATACTGGTTACAACAGATATGCCTAAACATAAAGATACTGAAAGGTTGAAAGTAAAAGTTGGAAAAAGAAACATTTAAATACTAACTAAAAGGAGGCTAGTGTAGTACTAGTAGTATTAGACAAATTAGACTTTATTTATAATAAACATATTAAGATAAGAGAAAATCACTAAACAAGGATTAAATGTTCAATTAATTAGAGTGATATAAAAATCTTAAGCTTCTGTGTACTTTGAAAAATATCCTCAGAATATAAAGTAAAAATAGGCAGAATTATAAGGAGAAACTGACATATTCAACACTATACAGGGAGACTTCAACACACTTCTGCCACAGATTTCCTCACCCTTCTCTTAAACATTAACCAAGCAAACCTAAAACAATAATAAGGCTACAGGAGATGTGACCAATAGAATAAGCATGATTTAATAATATATTAACATGCTATAACCAGTATACATTCTTTTTATATTTTTTATTTTGCAATTAGTTGACATACATTATTATATTAGTTTCAGGAGTATGACATAGCGATTAGACATCTATATAATTCACAAAGTGATCATCCCAATAAATCTAATATCCATCTGACGCTGTACAGTTATTACAATATTACTGACTATATTCCTTATGCTATACTTTATATCTCCGTAACTATTTTGTAATTACCAATTTGTACTTAATTCCTTCCCTCTTTTTCATTAATCCCCTCAACTCCTCTCCCATCTGGTAACCTTCAAAATGTTCGGTTTATCTATGATTTTATTTCTGTTTTCTTGTTTATTTTGTTCTTTAGATATCACATGTACATGAAATCATACGGCATTTGTCTTTCTCTGACTTACTCCACTCAGCACAATACCCTCTAGGTCCATCATGAAATATCTTTTTCCATCTGTGTGTTTTAATCTGAAGTGAGTCTCTTGTAGGAAGCCTATGTAAGGGTCTTGTTTTCTTATTCATTCAGTCACCCAATCTTTTGATTGGAGTATTTAATTTTTTTTATTTGAAGTACATGTTAATATATAGTTATTGCCATTCTTTACTCATATTTTTGATACATATTGAAGTCCCTCCAATATTTCCTGTAATACTGGCTTGGTGGCAATGAACTCCTTTAGCTTTTTCTAGTCAGAGAAGCTCTTTATCTGTCCTTCAATTCTAAATAATAACTGGGTAGAGAAACGTTGGTTGTAGATTCGTGCTTTTCATCACTTTGAAGATTTTGTGCCAAGCTCTTCTGTAAAGTTTCTACCGAGAAATCTGCTGGCAAGTCTAATGGGAGCTCCCTTGTAGGTAAGTAATTGCTCTTCTCTTGCTGCTTTTAAGATTCTTTGTCTTTAACCTTCGGCATTTTAATGCTGTGGGTCTTTTGGGGTTCATCTTGTTTGGGACTTTTTGAATTTCCTGGGGTTGTATGTCTATTTCCTTCACCAGGTTAGGGAAGTTCTCCGTCATTATTTCTTCAAATAGGTTTTCAATTTCTTGTTTTCTCTTCTTCTTGTACCCTCATGATGTAAATGTTGCTACGCTTGATATTGTCCCAGAGACGTCTTAAAGTAACTTCATTTTGGGGGGATTTTTTCTTGCTGCTATTCTGACTGAGTGTCCTCTGCTATCCATCCCATCCTCTAAATCACTGATTCAATCCTCTGCTTCATACACTCTGCCGATTCCCTCTAATGTACTCTTCATTTCAAACACTGTATTCATTACTGACTGGTTCCCTCTTGTGTTTTCCATCTCCATTTTTGTTTTCTATCTCTTTAAGTTCTCTGCTCTTTTTTCCCTAAGTTCACTGAGAATCCTTATAATCAGTGTTTTAAACTCTACATCTGGTAGACTGCCATCTCCATTTTGTCCCAGGTGTCCTGTGGGACCCAGTGGCAGAATATTCCCTGCTCACCTCAGCAAGGTGCTCAAGGTGTGCCCCTTGTGTGAGTCATGTGTGTGCTCCTGTTAATAGTTGATCCCTGATTGCCATCTGCACATCAGTGGGAGGGACTGACCTGTGGGCTGATTGGTTGTGAGGCTTGGTTGGTGAAAGGCTGACCCTACGGATTAGGATTCACTTTAGCGGGGCTCTGGTACCTGACCAGTCTGCCCTTCAGGTGTGTCCTCCTCAGGTGCAGCCTTGGGTAGTGCTCCAACTCTGGAGCTGGTTGAAGCAAGCCACCAAGTGTGCCGACCCAAGGGCCTCCTGGAAGGGCCTAGCTGCAGGCCAAGTTCAACCACAGCCTGTGCACCTATGGGGCCACCTGGTAAGTCACCAAGCAATCCGCAAATGGCTGCCACCTGTGCTGGGCTTATAGGTGCCTCGAGAGGCCAAGCCAGGAACTGAGGCCAGCTGCTACTATTATGGGGCCTGGGACTGCTCAGCAAGAGGTATGGAGGACATCAAGGCCATATGCTGCTTCTTTGGGTTTTGTGAGCCTTTGAGAGATTTTAGGAAAGTCTGCAGGAAGAGGCTTGGGTGGGCCTACAAGTTGAGAGAGGTGGAGTCTCAGGGAACTACCTGGGCAGGGCTGCCTGTGCTATCCAGGTTGATGGAGACTGAGTTATGGTGGCAGACTGCATCCACTCTAGAAGTGAGGAGGACTCAACAAAAGAACAATGGATGCTACTAGGATTTCTGTTTGGGAGAAAGCTGCCCCTGCAGCCCTCGCCCTGAAGCATCTCCACATACATCTCTGATGCTCCCTGGGCAGCTGCCCCAGTGCTGGAACTCAGAGCAAGTGATTCCATCAGTGAGTAAGGCCAGGCACAGGCTCTTTAAGAGGAACGTCTGCAACTCCCACAGCCTTCCATCTCACTCAGACACAATCTGCGCTGGTTTTCACAGCCAGAGGTTGTGGGGACTTCTATTCCCAGCACTGGAATCCTGGGCTGGAGAGCCCAGCGTGGAGCCTGGACCCCTCGCTCCTCAGTTCGGGGAGGGGGTTCTGCAGCCAAGATGACCCTCCCAATTCTTGATCGCCACACGTGGTTGTGGGACCTGGCCATTTCACATCTCTGTACCTCTTACTAGTCCGAGGTGACCTCTTATGTTTGTCCCTAGTTGTAGGGCTTCTGTTCAGCCAGACCTCAAGTGACTCCCAGTGATGGCTGCTCTCTATTTTTGGTGGGGTCATGAGAGGAAGCGCGCACAGCACCCATCTTCTACGCCATCTTGACCTCCCTTTCTCCCAGTATATATTCTTGTCAAGCAAACATGAAACATTAAAAAATTGATAATAAACTAGGCCATAAAACACATCTTTTAAAAATATCAGAGAATTAGTGTCACATAAACTGTACAAACTAAGTACAGTTAAGTTGAAACCAATTTTTTAAAACATCTAAATTTAAAAACCATCTATTCAGAAATTTAAAAACATAGTTCTAAATAATACAAGGCTTAAAGAATAAAATTAATTATAATATAAATTAAAAAATAAATGACAAAAAGAAAGTATCATATAATAAAAATCTAGGAGCGGCTAACATAGTATCCAGGAAAATTTATAATATAAAATTCTATTAGAAAATGACCTAAACTTTCAGGTAGAGATTTTAAAAAATAAAACAATAAACAAAGCAAAATAGATTTTTTTTTTAAAGAAAGTACAATAAAAGAACAGAAATGATTAAATATAAAACAAATTTATAGAAAGATCAACCAAGTAGAGTTGTTATTTTGAAAAGGCTAATAAATAATATCCTGATTTCTAGTGAGAATAATCAAGAAAAAAAGAAGAGCAATACACATAAACATATTAGGATGAAAAAGGGAACTTAAGTATAGAGATAAATGGTAAGAGAATATTATAATTGTGTTAACAAAATATTAATAAATTTGAAAACCTTGGTGTAATAGAAAACTTCCAACTGAACCTTCTAAGAAAAGACCAGATTCAGACAGTTTCATAAGTAAATTCTATCAAACATTCAAACTTACATAAACTCATGAAAGAGAAAAAGAAGATATACTTCCCAACTAATTTTATGAACCTAAAACCATGATACAAAAGCCAGGCAAGGCAGGGCAAGGAAGAAAAACTTGTAGGCAACCTCACTCATTTATACAGATAATGTATCAAAAGAATAAAAGGGATAAAGTACTGATACATGCTACAATGTCAATGAACTTTGAAACATTATGCTGAGCATAAGATTCCAGACACAAAAGACCACATAAAGTATGATTCAATTATATGCAAAGCCAGAACAGGCAAATCCATAGTGAAAGAAAAGCAGATTAGTGGTTTCCAGGAGAGGTGGGAATTGGGAGCGACTGATAGCAGGTTTCTTTTTGAGGTGACAGTTGTACAATATTGTAATTACACTATAATTAGGTTGTTCCTTTAGTTATTAAATTAGTTAAAATTACCAAGAAGAAAATACTCTGACCAAAATTAAGTAAGGGGTATCTCTGAGGGAGAATAAAGCACAAAGAAAAACACGTTGTCCAAGTCTTGAGTAACATTTTTATCAAAGTCAAACAATCAAATAAAGAAGAGCAGGAAGTGGGAGTGGTTTTAAAATACCTAGACAGCTGAACATATGCTGCCTTTTCCATCTATCCCTCCTCAGTTCCTTCCAGTATTCTAAGCCACTAGGTAGCCAGAATTTGTTCCTCCAGTAGTATATGGTCAGGTATGCCAAACCCTAGGGTCTGTTCTAGTTTCAGATATTAACATTTTATTAGTAAATAATAAAGTACTGACTATATAAGACAACTGGAATTTTTCTGTTAATTAACTCAGTTTTAAGAACAAAAAGATACAAACTCTTTATAAACTGGGAAAAAAAAAAAGCCTACAGGCAATATGAAATTTGTCACCAATTTTCAAGTGGCAAAACTGCAATCTAATCCATTTTGGTTCATTCATCATTCATAAGGGGAAAAACTCTACATAGACTTTCTATCACTGCTATGAAATAAAAAATATGTTAGATAGTCTCCAAGTTATACCTTGCAAGTTCCTTTGGTTTGAACTTCCACCATGTGTCCGGTTCTCGAAAAAGGACTTTATATTTATATTTTTGAGACTACATTAAAAAAAAAAAGACAAAAAAAAGCATTTAAAAATAATTACTTCTATGAAATTAAATTCACTGTACCCAAATTCGTAGAATGTTAAAACCGAAAGAACCTAAAAGATTATCTAATCTTGATGAGTGTGTTAAACTGGTAAGTTAATCTCTCTGACCCAGTCATTGACTTCCAGAAATATTTATGCTGATAAATACTTACATAAGCGTGCAAAAATATATATTCACCAGGATAGCTAGTTCACCATCATTTATAACAGCAAAAAAATGCAAACAATTCAGTAGCTTATGGAACTAGCTAAATAAATGAAGGTACAACCATATAATGAAAATTTTATACAGGAAGTTTTTAAATTCTTATGTATTAATGAGGATGATCCTTAATATAAATCATTAAGAAAGTAAGATTGAGAATTTTCAGTTGCATAAAAAAGGATTACTCATACCTTTGAACATGTATAGAAAATTTCTGGAAAGATTCTCAAAAATACTATAAAAAGCATCAACCTCAAGGGAGTAAGACTTTGGACATTCTTTTTTATGGTTTGAATATTCACCATATACATACATGACTTTTATAATTTTAAAACTATTTTAAATAATATCTCATTTTATTTCTCAAATCTATATGGCTATAAACAAAAAGCCAAGCCATACACTTGTGCACTAGACCCATCTCAAGGATAATTAATTTCAGCAATTCTCCCCTCTTTCTGAGGCATTGTTAATTGTTCCCTCCTTCTTGAATAAATCCCATCAAATTCAGTTACTTCTCTCATCTTATGCTTAGCACCCCATTTCCCCTACCAAGTACCTCCCCATTTTCCTACTTTCCTTTGTAGGAAAATGTCTCAAGATAATTACTATATTCTCTGTCTCCAGCTCCTTTCCTCCAATTCCCACTCCCTCACTGGCTATTCTACTGAAACTGGGCATCAAGACTATAAATTACTTTCACACTGAAAAAATGCCACGGTTAATTCTCAGTCCTCTTACTTGACCCTCAACAGCATCTGTCACATTTCATCACTCTCTTCTCCTTATACTTTTCATTGCACACTATTGCTTTTCCTTCTACTCCACTGAGTGGGTGTTCTTAGTCTTTTCTGTTAGTCCTTCCTTTTCACCTAGACCTCTTCTCACTGTAGAATGCCCCAGACTTAATCTTTGGTCCTCTACTCTTGATCTACACTCACTTCCTCAGTAATATCACTCCATGTGTTGGCTTTAAATATTATCCACATGGTAATGACTCTGAAATATATGTCTTTAGCCCAGAACTCATCCCTCAACCTCAAACTCACAGATCTTCAACCATCTATTCAGCAAACTTGACATATTCAAACCTAAATTTCTGAAATCCATTACGCTACACCCACCTAAAACTATTCTCCTTCATCTCAGCTGATGACAAGCTCCAGTCACACAGGCCAAAAACCAACCTTGATGGCTGTCATAATTGACTCCTTTCTTTCTTTAACATCCCCATCAATCAAATAAGAAATTCTGTTGGTTCCGCTTTCAAAATATATCTAGAATCTAATCACCACTGTCCCCTTCACTGCTACCAGGCTTTTCTGAGCCACATGCTCTCTTACTTTAATTACTGCTATAGCCCTCTAGTCTCCCTGTTTCCATCCTTGCCCCGCCTAAGTCTATTCTCAACACTGTATTACAGTGATCCTGTTAATAGCTGGATCATGTCGCTACTCTGCTCAAAAACTCTTTGTTATGGACTGAATGTTTGTGTCCCCTCAAACACTGTACATTGAAATCCAAATTCCACCATGTGACTGTTTTTGGAGATAGGGCCTTTAATGGAGATAATTAAAGTTCAATGAGGTCATAATAGTGAGGCCCTGATCTGATAGGATTAGTGTCCTTATAAGAAGAGATACCAGAGAACTTACTATCTCTGCTATGTGAGAACACAGAAAGTAGCCATTTTAGAAGCCAGGAAGAGAACTCTCACCAGAAAACAACCTAGTGGACTCTAATCTGGAACTTCTAACTTCCAGAACTGTGAGAAAATAAATTTCTGTTGTTTAAGCCACCCAGCCAATGGTATTTTGTTATGGCAGCCTGAGCTAACACGTCTTCCATGTCACTCAAGGTAAAATCCAAAGTCCTTAAAGTGATCTAGGTGCCCTTGCATAATCTGCCATACCATCTTCCCAACCACCATTACAGATCTGACCTCATCGACTACTGATTCCCTCAGTTTTATGGCAAAATGTCAAAAGTGGACACTGCTACTTTCTGTCATTACTGACAGAAAAGCCCAAAAGTCAAACCAGAGACTAAGGTAGGAATGACATAACATCCTATAATATGCCTACTCACTTCCATCTCTTCACTTCAGCACCAAATTTCATACAAATTATTCAGGGCCTGGCAACAGCCTGGGTCTCCAATTACCTAAACAGGATGTCAAGTAGTTCTTAAGATAAAATTAATTTTAAATGCACACACACAGAAAAGACTATGAATTTAAAGACCTTTTTCAATTCCCATATCAACAGGCAAATCTTAACAATAGTTTTGCTGTTGTCACTAAGCATATCTGACTGTTGCCTATTTACTCTCAACTCACTGCCTCACTATTTTTGTAAATGTCAAGACAGTAACAGATGGTTATCTCCAATCTATTCCACTCCCCCACAACTCTCATTATCTTCGTAACAAAAAGTCTTCTGTCTCTACAGTAATTCCTATGTCTACTTCCTTATGAAGAAAAAATGAGTTGGGTACTCCATGACAAGCAGGAGTCCTTTATACTTCTAAATAGAGTTGGGAAGAGACAAGGAATACTGAAAAAATAACTATATTTTCAATTATTATATAAGGAAAAAAAGGGAAAAGAAAACATTATAGAATCTCTAAGGCTAAATGAAAATCAGAAACAGTAATTTGAGGCTTTCTTTGTTCTCTACGTAGAAGGATAAAGTGTTAAAGGGCTTTCTAAGATGACAGCAGGAAGCTAAGGAAAATCTATAGAAAAGTAAAGTAAGGTTAAAGGGTTATGGTGAATAGATTAGTCTAGAAATTAGGAACTCCTAAAGCCAGAAAACAAACCAAATTTCAGCTCCAAATATATTAAAATCAAGTCTTTTTGTTTCTTGTACTGCCCCTGCACAGAAGTAAAATCTCATTTGCTTTCAAAGGACACAAAATTTTCTTCAAAAAGGTGAAGAATCACATCTTCAAAATAGTACAAGGGCTCCAGGCACAGCAGAGGAGGTAGAGGCTAGATGTATTGAAGACATAAAAGAGGAAAGGCAACATTCATTCAAAGAAGCATAAAATGAACTTTCATGTGCCAGGCATGTGCTAATCTTGGGGGAATAAACAAAACAATACCCCATATTCACAAAAGCATCATTCATCAATTTACTCAAGAAATATATATTTACTGTATGCCAACCATAGTGCTATACCCTGGAGATTAAATGAGGAATAAAACAATGGTCCTACCCTCAAGAATATACAGATGGCCTAGAGTCAAATTCAGCCCATCAGGCAGTATTTGTACACCCCAGGAGCTAAGAATAGTTTTTATATCTTTAAAGGTTTGTTTAAAAATAAAATTAAAAAGAATATGCAACAGACTGTATGTGACCTGCAAAACCTAAAATATTTACTATCTGGCGTTTTATAGAAAAAACTTAGCCAACCCATGGCCTACAAATAAAAACGCTGTGCTTAATGCTATGACAGAAGTAAGCCAGGGTAGCAGGAAAGTAAAAAGATTACTCACCTCAGCTTTTTAGTAAGTTAATGAATACTAACTTCTTGAAAAAGGTAACACCAAAACTGGGCAAAAAAAAAAAAAGCTGACAAATTTAGAGAACTAAAAATACGTAAGTTTACAGAATTCTGAATTTCTCAGATTAGCAAAATTTCAAAACAAATTTAGGGAATAACAAAGGACCACCAAATTTTGATTCTACCAAGTAAGACTAATAAAAAAATTTATACACATATACACACAATCACACACAAAATTATCATATACGTATATATTCATACACAAACATAAAATTATAACACCACTACCTTCTCAAAAAAGTATCAAAAATACCTCAGAATTTAAAAACTGAATCTCAGAACCTGAAAAAAAATTTAGCTTTATGAAAAAACTATTCCTATTTTTATCATTTTGCTGAAGATCAGAGAAAGCTCAGTTACAGAAAGTCCAAGGACTATCTGCTTGATATTCACTTATATAATTAACATCTCCAATAATTTCAAACCCACTATTATAGACTTATGACAATTATGGTACAAACCAAAGCAACATAGGGCTTCATTTCCCATGCCTGTAGGTTTGTATTATCTATTATTATAGGAGATAGCTTCTTCTCAAATGCTTCTTTTGCTGAAAAACACAAACAGAAAATCATTTTTAATAAGTGTTACCTTGCTATTTTAAAAACCTGATCCTGTTTCATAATTTGAAAATTACAGGTATGTGTTAATTTTACTCAACTCTACTTCTAAATATCACTTTTGAGTATATAAAAAATTAACGCACTGGCAAATATTAAATAATGATTTGAATAATAAATACTAAACACTAAATAATAAAGTTATACTAAAGTTGTAATCAGAAAATTAATAAAAATTATATGATCTAAATTTTATGTGTTATATGTATAAACAGCATAATGAAAACAAAAAGCTATCACTAAAAACAGTATCATAAAAGTAATATGGTATCCTAGATGAGATTCTGGAACAGAAAAGGACTTTTGTAGAAAAACTACAGGCCAAAGTTATATAATAAGTCCAAGTCTGGAGTTTATTTTATAGTAATGTACCTGTGATATTGTGATGTATAACAGAAATGCATATTTGGTCTTCATCCTGTTTCTGGCAGAGCTCCTAAAATCTTTGGAATTTCCTAAGTGATGAGAGCTTAAAGATGCTTCTTATTTAATGAAGTGACTTATGGACCACCTAAGGATGGGGGCTGGTTTCCAGTATAACTTGGTGATTAAAGGGTTGGAACTTCCAGTCTCTGTAATAAAGCCTCCATAAAAACCCAAAAGAAGAGGGTTCAGAGAACTTCCAGGTTGGTGAACACATGGAGGTGCTCGGTGAGTAGCGTGCCTAGACTCAAGGCCATGGAAAATCCATACCTTTCCCTATACCTTGTCTAGTACATATCCATCTGGTTGTTCCTGAATTATATCCTTGTATAATAAACTAGTAATCTTGTAATTAAACAGGATTTCCTGAGTTGTGTGAGACACTCCAGCAAATTAATCGAACCCAAGGAGGGGATCTTTGGAACCTCCAATTTGTAGCCATGGGTCAGAAGCACAGGTAACAACCTGGGCTTGTGACTGGTGTTTAAAGGGTAGTCTTGTGGGACTGAGCCCCTTTACCTGTGAAATCTGATTCTATCTCTAAGTAGATAGTGTCAGAATTCTCCAAAACTTCATGTTGGTTTGAGGAAGCCTCCACACACACACTGGAATAGGGTCCAGGAACCCTTTCCAGTACCAATATTAATTTCTCAGTCTTGACAAATATACTGTGGTTATATAAGATGTTAATATTAGGGGAAAATGGGTGAGAAGTATACAGGAACTCTATACTGCTTTTGCGATCCTTCCAGAAATCTTAAATTATTCCAAAACAAAGTTAAAAAACAAAAAAATATATAAACACCAAAAAAAAAAATGTAATGATTAAAATAAAGAAAACATTAATATATACTGTTGTGCAAGAGGTTTTCTTCTAAAAATACATTTTTCCCAAGAAATTAAACCATTCAGGAAATTAATAATGAACCACAAAAATTAAGCCTTACAAGGAAATTATTTGATTTAAAAGTTCTGTATATTCTCTTACAAATATAATAAATGTGTCTCGAAAAATAAGACAAACTATCCAATTTTAAAATGGCAAAAGACTAACAGACAGCTTTCTAAAGATAAACAAACAGCCAATAAGCACACAAAAAGATTCCCAATATTATTAGCCATAAAGAAAATGAAAATCAAAACCACAATGCGTTACCATTTCACAACCACCAGGAGAGCTATAACCAAAAAGACAAAATAATAACGAGTGTTACTGAGGCTGTGGAGAAGTTGGAATCCTCACAAACGACTACTGGGAATATAAAATTGTGCAGCTGCTTTCGAGAATAGCTTCACAGTTCCAAAAAATGTTAGACATTGACATGTATGTTCACACATTAATTCATAATTGCCAAAAGGTGAACAACTCAAATGTTTGTCAACTAATGAATAAATAAATAAAATGTGGTCTATCCATATAATGGAATATTGTTCAGCCATAGGAATGAAGTACTGATATAGGCTACAACACAGATGAACCTTGAAAATATTATGCTAAGTGAAAGAAACCATTCACAAAAGACCGCGTATTATATGATTCCATTTATACGAAAGGTCCAGTATAGGCAAACCTATAGAGATAAAAGATTAGTGGTTGCCTAAGGCTAGGAGAGGTTGAAGAGAAATGAGAAGTGGCTGTTAATACACTTCAGGATCCTTTTAAGGTGATAAAAATGTTCCAAAATTGTGGTGATGGTTATACAATTCTGAGTATGCTAAAACTGTGTGAATTATATCTCAACAAAACTGTTTTACAAAGAGTTCTGCCTATTAATTTAATATTATTATTGCTGTGGTTATTGATATAATAAGGCATGTTGAACCATTGCTAAGCATTTTTCATTGTCATTTAACCTTAACAACAATCCTGGGGGTTAAGTATTCTGTCCTTTCACAGATGAAGACACTGGGCTTGGAGAATATAAATAACTTGTGATCTGCACAGCTAGTAACTGGCAAATCCAAGATTGCTCTTTACTACATCATACCATTTCCTATACTATTTTCACATTCCTGAGTTATCATTTTAATATTTTGTTCAAGAAAAAATACAGAAAAATTTTAAATTTCAATTTAAAAAATATCTGAAGATAGCAAACTGAAGAATCACTTTCACAGTGCATTTATGATAAGGCTAAGTAAAATACTGTCTGTATATCTTAATATGAATTCCCCACATGAAATCTAAATTATTCATATAACCAAACATTTCATGATAAAACCATCTTCAATGAATAGTTACACTAATAAAGAAATTAATGTTTTAACCCATGACCTCCCTGTTCAGTTTGAGGAGAGCCATTTTTACTCTTTACACTATCCTCTATAAAAATTACACCAGCCTAAGGAAGACTAGTAGTTAATAATGCAAATTCCATTTTAGGAAATAAGAACCAGTGCAAACCAGACAACTGTACCCATGTTGAGCTATTCTCAGACCCAAGTAGAAAATCTGATTTACTTCTGACAAGATCTCCATTGATTAAATAAAACTTAAACGTGCCATGCACTGTTCTAAGCATTTTAAAAAATTAACTAGTTTAATCCTCATAACAGTTCTGAGATAACACTACTTCTTTTACCTCTTATTATGTAACATGAGATGTTATAGTTATAATTTTATATATTATATAGTTAGAATATAAAGTTAATTATAAGTTTTTAAAAGCTATATGTCTCTCAAAATACAAATACCAAGAGAATTTTTTCTCTATAGAACTCTTAATATTATCCAGATTCTGATATCTATTCTTACCACGATTCTGGTTCCATTCATGTGCTTCTCCTAAGTACTTTACATCGAACTGGTACTGTCCATTTATATAAAAATAATCATCAGTACTAAGAATGACTCCACTCGGATTATCTTCTTGCAAGGTCCTGTGAATGATAAATGGAATTTTTTCATTAATTTTTCCTCTTAATTCTCTCTTCTTATTTTCACAAGGTTATAATCCAAGTAAAAAAACTTAAAGCATGAGAATATTGTAATATTCAAACAAATCATTTTGGAAATTCTCGTGAGCAGAAGTTTGCGTCCCAAGAAAACTTTGCTGTACGTAAATTGTTTCAGAAACTTTTTTTAATGTTATAAAGTCTTTTCTCATTAACTATAAAGGTTTGAAGATTAACAAATTTTTAATTATCAAGAAAACCTGTTAACTAAAAATGCTTCAGAATCTTACCAGTCACAGGCACTTAGTAGATTAATAAAAATTAAATTTAAAACATTTTAGCTTTAGATATATTTACACATTTTAGGAGGAGAGGATAGTGATATTTTATAAATGGTCAAGAATGATAGTATTGTTATGTTTCTGTGGATTCTGTTTGTTTAGTTTTGCATGTATATCAATTATGTAGAAGATAAATTCCAAAATCAGAAGAGATATCCAAAAAACTGCCACATAACTAATCTGGTCACTTGATACACACAAATCTACTTCACCTTCAAAGTGCTAAATCACTTCAAGGTAGTCGAGTATCTTAAAATTTAACAGATCTTCAAAAGTAGATGAAGCTCTTTGTTATGTTGCTATAAATTTAGTGAGTATGCCAAAAACATCTAAAAATATAATCTTAATACACTATTAATCTTAAATTATGCAAAGTTGAGATAGTTATGTGGCAGTTTTTTGGATATCTCTTCTGATTTTGGAATTTATCTTCTACATAATTGATATACATGCAAAACTAAACAAACAGAATCCACAGAAACATAACAATACTATCATTCTTGACCATTTATAAAATATCACTATCCTCTCCTCCTAAAATGTGTAAATATATCTAAAGCTAAAATGTTTTAAATTTAATTTTTATTAATCTACTAAGTGCCAGACACTGTTTTAAGCACTGAACACACATCAATAAACAAAAAAGATAAAAATTCTTGCACTTATGGAACTTATATTCTGGTAAATAATCACCTAATCTCAACCCCTCTGAGACTCTTACATTTATCCTCTTTTATCTCTTAAGTTTTCTCTTCTCTGACACTTCCTCTTTTCCCCTTGAACATGTATATATCTCAGCTATCTTTAAAATTTTTCACACATTAAGTACCCCTTTCAAATTACACTTCTC